TGATAAATTAAAAGTGTAATAATATAAAGTTAGGAATAAAAACTTACAAACTTGTTAAGATAAAGGATTAAAAGTAAATTTTTAGCTATTAAACTAAAATATGAGACATCATTTTCTTAAAAAAAAAAAAAAAGAGACCGAGAGATTGCAGTTCTATAAGGTTGTGTATGATTTTATCAATTTATAAATTTTAAATAATTAATTAAGTTATTTAAAAATATATTAATTATTTTATTAATTAATAATTGATAATTATAATTATTAATTATTTTTAATAATCAAGATTTATTATATGATAATTTTTATAAAAATAATTATTTTAAATAAATATAAATAAAATTTAATTATTAAAAATAAAAAATAAATAATTATAATATATAAAATTTATATTATAATTATATTCTTCTTAAATATAGATTTATAATTAAATTAAATATAATAAATTCAAAACTATAAATTATTTGTGACAAGATAGATCATGCTCCACATAACATGTCTTACGTTGCGTGTTCAGGCGCATTAAAAGCCAGAGGTTGGTTGGTAGCATTGAAAATTGAAAATAATGTAGCAACAAATTTGTCAAATCTATGGTACCTTTACAAAACACAACCATAAAATTTTGAAAGAGTTTTCAGTTTTGTCGAGAGATTTTTTTGGATCGAGTTTTATTGGTTTCGACAGAAACAGAGGAAGCGATGAATAGAAAAATAAAAGTGAATGAATAAATTAAAAATAAAAAATAAAATGAAGCGATTTTTTAATTAAATAAAGAAAATATCTCCCTTTTCTCTCTCTCTTTTTCTTTTTGATCTTCTTTAAACTAAATATAGTTTAGAGATTTATTTAATTAGAAGTTAAATTTATTAAAATTTTTTTAAAAAATAATAGTTATAAAAGTATTATATAAAAATTAAAAGTTATTGAATTTTATAATATAATTTTATTAAATTAAATAAAAATTATTATCCATCAAAACAAAGAGAGGCTAAAAAACTTTAAAAATTAATATTTATTAGTTAACTATTAATATTTCGTTAAAAATCCATTGACATTGTTATTAGTGATAGAAACATAATTAATAAAATATTAATAATCAGTTGATGAACGTTATAAATTGACATTAAGTAAAAATTATTTTTTTCAATTCATAAAAGTGATAAATTAAAAGTGTAATAATATAAAGTTA